AATAATGGGGTTTAAAAAAAAACCTACTAAATGACTTATATTACTCTCGTTTATGAAAATACTAGCCATCGCTCACTCGTGGGAGGGGGGGGGTGTCTGTAATTTTGTGACGGTGTGTGATTGGGGGGGGGGGGGGTTAGATGGTGTGACGTCACATTATTTCGCGTTTTAGAAAAATTCGACTACAATTTTGACGGGTTTGAAAGCTGAGGTATGACGTCGTTTTAGGGGGGGGGGGGGGTTTGGCTTTTTGTGATTATGTGTGACCGAATGGGGGAGGGGACGTAAAAATCGTCCAATAAAGTGTGACGTCATTTATGGATGACCCCCTATAGGTTTGTATAATTTCTATGTTATAGACCTAGTTTGCGAAAAATAATTTAAATAAACCGGGAGTGATCTCCCCTAAACTTTCTCGAATATTCTTATATAAAATAACAGGGGATGGGAACTCGGGCTATAGACATGATACGAAGTATAGAGAAAGTATTGTAATCGTGCACAAAAATCACTTGAAATTTTAACAATTTTCACCGTATTACACCTCAGTCCTTATTCACATCCGAAGTATAGAGGACTTATTTTAATCGGGCAAAAATTATCAATCCAGATTTATCAAAATTAAAAGGTTTTATGCGTAATCCAGTCTGAAAAACTGGGCTTTGCAATTCTGTCCGTATGTCTGTGTGTGTGTCTGTGTGTAAACACGATTACTTGAGTACCGTTACAGCTAGGTTGATTAAATTTCATATATAAGTATTTTATCAAAATCGTAGATCCGTATCAACTTTTGAGCGATTTCCGATAACCGGAAGTGGTACTTTTTCTACTTTGAATTTTTCAAAAGCCTATAACTTGAGTACTATTTCAGATAGATAAATGAAGTTTCACATGTGAGTAAATGATCTAAAAAGTAGTAATTTACGCTACTTCCGATTTCTCAAAAAACTAATGTAAAATTTTAAAGTACTAATAATATTGCGCACTATTATGCACTTTTGTATTTGGCGTTCACTTGGTGTGCATTTCTTTTGTCTACGAGATTTTATTCTGTTTTTAAAACCTTTAAGTATTCAAAATGGATTAAAAATCATGTCTATAGCCCGAGTTCCCATCCCCTGTTGTTTTATATAAGAATATTCGAGAAAGTTTAGGGGAGATCACTCCCGGTTTATTTAAACTTAAAACAGTGGCTGTATGATGCTCATTATTTTGAAAATATAGGCATTAAAATAGATACGTCAGCTTGTTGCACTTACTGTCAGTGGCATAGACAGGATCGTCTCATGGGGGGGAGTCAAGTTTTTTTCATTAATATTTATATACGAGAAAATTGGCCCGTTGAGGAAGGACACAACGGGCGCTAGGTTGATAGTGCTGTCTATTTTCTCGGTACTTTAATTTATTCAAAATATAGTCATAGGCATCCCTAAAACATGCACCTAATCTCATTCATGACAAAAGTCGCATTAAGAGTTTCTTTCAGGCAACTCTACTTGGGAGGAGGGGGCTTCGCCCCCCTCCCCCCCCCCCCCCACACACACCCCAAAACATATCTACCGTCCCTTTCAACGAAATATAATTATATCCTTTTTCCAGTGTCCGCCCCCTCCCAGAAAATTCTACCCCCGCCCCCGAAAATTTCAAGTACCCCCACCCCTCTCCGGGGAGGAAAAAGTCTGAAAGAAACACTGGTCGCATTTGTAGATCATACAAACTAAAGGAAGAACCTGGGCGGGGCTTCGCCCCAACCGGAAGAGATGCATGAAAAGAGCTGTGCACGCTAAACACTTTTTAGATTAGAAAAAGTGTCTCACTCCGGGGAGAAAAAGTCTGAAAGAAACACTGGTGTCGCGCTTAACTACTTTTTAGATTAGACACATGAATTAGGCTGTAATTTTATTATAGAGTATCGATGACGACATTTCTTTTGAGTTGGGGGGGGGGGGGGTTCGGCTAAGATGTTCTTACGCGGGGATGGGCTTCGCCCCTACCCGAAGAATTGTATGAAAGAAACTCTTCACGCAAACCACTTTTAAGATTAGACAAAATTTGCTTTATAATTCAATGTTTACTCGAGAATCAATGACGTCATATTACTGTGTGCACTCTCCGGCTTGATACTATTTTCTGCTATATTGTGCTAAATGTGACGTCATATTTCGTTTCCGTCTTACTGTGGATGTTTTTAATTTGCTTGTGTTTTCTCTAGAGCGTTCTTGTCAGACAGATACACAGATAGATACACAGACAGCGAAACTATTATATAGAATATATATATATATATATATATATATATATATATATATATATATATATATATATATTCTAGCTGTATGTCATTGCTTCGTTATAAAATAAAATAAATTGAAAGTAGTACTCTTAAGAAAAAAGAAAAAAAAAACACAGACAAAACAAAAAATGTTTCACTCTAAACAAAAAAAATAAATATATATATATATATACACACTACAATAAAAAACGATGAGAGCAACACAATCTGTTTTGTAATCCTTGTAAAAAAAATTACATAACGATTCCTGGGATATTAATTAAGTCAAGCGAAATAGGGGAAATAATAACTCTCTTAATATAAATATTTATGTCTACATATCTATCTATATACTACTAAAACTCAACTTTGTTTACATGTTTGAATATTTATTTGTTTGTTTGTTTGTCTGATTTGGTACTGTAAGGAAACTGCTCTATATGTGGGGCTGTAAAATAGTATGTAGGTAGAGAACAATTTTTGATTGCAGACCGACGGTTAATCACACATTTATTTAAAGACGTTAATTAATTTATTGATTTATTCATAGATAGATTAACCACATTAATTTTAAAGTTTTAGAACAATGGCTTAACTTTGACTGAATAGTGACGTTTGATAACTCATTTTTTTGTTTTTTTGTTTTTCTGATTTGTTATTGGGGAGAATCTGCATTATGTGTAGAGCTGTAAAATAGGATTTTGGGTTGTAAATATTGTTCTTTCTTAAACACACTGTTAATTACAAACTAATTTAAAGCTGTTAATTAATTTATTGATATATTCATTGGTAGTTTAACCACATTGATTATAAAAGTTTAGAACAATGACTTAAGTAATAGTAAAAAGATTTATTATCTATTTACAACAATGTTTTCAATTATTTTTTCTTAAGGCCTATATGTGAATGATAAGGTTGACTATCATGACCTCGCGGGGCACAGGGCAGGTGAAGTAGAGTTCACAGCAAATGAAGTGATAGTTTGGTCAGAGCCATGCTCGGCCGGAATCGTATTTTTTTAAAAATACAAACATGTCTGAGACTTGGCGGGGCACTGGGCAGGTGAAGTAGAGTTTAGTAATGTTTTTAAAATATAAAAAAACGTCTTTTTGAATGTGGGGTCTGGTTATTTTGGGATGAAAAGAGCTGGCAGACGTGATGTCATTTATGGATGACCCCCCGAAACCCACTGTTATCTAACTAGATAACGGGTAGTCTAGTTTAATTATAAATGTCAAAACAAATCAATAGCTACTTTTTAAAATCTCTTAACACTATACGTTTTTACAAACAAATACGTTGTCTACAGTCAGAATTAAATATATTGTCATCATAAATGCTAAAGTATTACAGCATAATGAAAGTTTTTGAAATCAGAGTTTATATAAAAGCACACTTTTCAATAGAATAGAAAAACATTCGGAATATTAGCCTACATATAACTATAATAAGTCGATGAGGAAATCTGTAGGCCTAATACATGTATGTATACTGATCCAAATATAGATTTAAATAAGTAGCAGCGGTATTATGACAATAATTTTTTTTTACAGAGGGGTCCATGGCGGGGTTGTAACCCCCGCCTACGCCACTGTTTACGGTAACACATTTGACAGTTTTTCAATTTTGTGGCGAGAGTCCAAACGGGAAGGGCTTGAAATATTATTTTTTTCTATAATAGAACTCAATTCTAATCCATGTTTATTAACCACGTGGAGCTCACTTCGTTTCCGGTTACGTAGTGTTGCGATTCCGAATTCAAAGGTCGATCCTGCCCGGATATATTACGGAAATATGATACTATATATATATATATATATATATATATATATATATATATATATATATATATATATATATATATATTTATATATATAGGCCTAATTAATAAATACAATCTATTTAATTTTAGTAGGTTTAAATCAACTTGTAAAACCAAAGTTAAAAAGCGGATATATTTAGGACTAACATACAGTAGATAGACTATAGATCTAATATATAGGCCTAATTATTCACTTTTTTTTAAATATGGAAAATGAGATTGAAGCAAATATTCATAATAACACTCTTGCTCTGTAAACAAACAAGGCTTTACTTTAAAAATTTGACTGAGGACTTGACTAACTTTTTTAGTTTGTTTTAAAATTAAACTCGGCCAACCTGGCAAAGTATCGTTGTGCGATACTTCCTAAAATAGTTTAATGTAATCGATCACTTACTTGACTCGATCCTTTCTACTCGACAATCCTTGTAGAGAGCGTGTCTTACGTTTCGTGTCTAGAAAAGACTTAAAAGTAAGTCCCCAAAATAGTCATTAGATAAGTAAATTAAATAATTAGAATTGAGCTTGGACTTTTCAACCTGACCTTTGTTAAATTAATGAATACCATTAAATTCTATCAAACCTGGCACGCGTGGTTTTAGAAATAGCTAAGCCGCTGCCGAGAAAATCGGACAAATCGGCTTTTCCCTAGATCTACCCCCTTGACGTTCAACACTTTTTTGTTAGCATGCTTTTATTATGTTAACATGTTATACATCATTCTGTCCGTAATTGAACAACCTTTTAAACTGTATTAGATTTCTGTATTATTTCAGATGTTGAAGAAATCTCCGATTAAATAGCATTTTTTTTCGGTAATCTATCGTTTTGGGTATGTAAAATCGCCCGCGTCTAGATCTAGTAATGTGAAAAACAGGTGACTTAAATTTTAATAATTATTTCACATTTTGAGGAGGATTTATGTTTTGAAAAATACAAAAATGTTTCCTTCTTTCATTTATGTACCTGTTTTTAAACAATTGAATTAAAACTTTTCAGTAATAAATTAGTTAGTCTCATAACGCGAGTTGAATTACCTCCCCTGACCCGCTTTTTTATGGCCACTTTCTAGTTCGTTTTTTTCGATCGCGTCTCGGCACTGTTGCTAAAAATAGCATTCGCGCAATACCATACGGGTAAATCTGTTTGGCGTCTGCTACACGTGATAGATCGTTGAATGGCCGACAAGCTGATATAAAAATTATTGCGACCGGATGCGATTTTCGTGGAAATTGAGCTAGATTTAGCAAAAGACAGCTATATTTGTGTAAAATATTATTTATACTTCTACTTACAGAGATATTTTGATACCTGCAGTTCAGCCGTCCATTTTTCTTTTAAAATGTATCTTTAGAATTTCTGTACCTTTTGGCAATCGGTCAGGAGCATTTGCGCACTAAACCCACCCCCCTACGGCAGATCCGATTTTTTCCCAGTGAACTCGTACTGACCTCCCACATAGCTAAGATAGTACATTGATACCGATGGGAAAGCCTCTAAATCTGTATTCCTACTAGAGATCTAGAAATAAATCTAGATCGTGGAGTTTTTATAATGACTTTTAAATTGAATGTCTCCAGTTTAAGATTTTTTTTTTCAAAACATAGCTACTTTTAGTACTATATTTAAGTATTTCAAACCCTTTTGGTAGTTTTTTCTTAAACTTAGACCTAGATCTAGTGATTAGATATATTTTGTACTTATAACTTGCAGGCCTATTAAAATAATAATAAAACAGTTTGCTTGATAACTTCATTAGGTCATTTCATAAACACAAATGTTATAAATATATAAAAATCACAAAACCATAGGTAATATCTGAATTCTGTAGCCTACCTTACATTTAGGCTAATACTGAATTAAAAAGAAATTACATTAAGGTTTGAAATTAATACAACTTGTAATTAAGAAAGAAAGCTTCAATTCTAAATACTACAAGATATAATAACAAACAATGAAACAAATTCAAAGCTTTTTTCAACCCATTTAGTCGAAAAGATTTTTATTTTTTCCGATATTGACCAAAATAAGTTTTTAAAGCTTAGGCCTAATGTTTTTACAAACATAACTCAATTTTATTAGGCCCCTGTAAACATTAATTAATATTCCTCTGTAGACAAAGCAATCTATTTGGCGGATGAAGTAGAGTTCATGTTTCTTGACCTCGGCATATGAAGTTATTGTCCGTGTGGTCAGCGCTATTCACAGCCGCCTTTACTTTTTACCTTTAATTTCCCCAATGTATATCAGGTACCCATCAGAAATGGGTGGACTCTAATTGAATTTTATTAAACAAACATTTTGATATAGGCCTAGATCTATAATCTGTAACATTCCAAACAACATATGTTCTGTAGAATTTACCTTTCTGCTTCCAAATGCGGTATTTTCCAATTGAAAATTCATCACAAAACATACAATAAATTATATAAATGGCATTTTATAAATTTATATAAACTATTTACTTTCACCTTGGTGTAAAAAAATGTAGGTATAAGCAAACTGATTTCAATAGTAAGAAAGAATCATGTCTTTTCTTGCTTACTAGCTTTAAAACAAGTGAATTTGACTTTTTACCTGCGTTTTTGGTCGCGTTTCTATATATTTTATTTGCGACACTAAAAAAATTATATTTAATCAACCAATTATGCTAAATTAATAAAATTGGTACTGTTGGATTGCATTTTTAAAGCTCTACAACTATATGCTATTCTTTTTATAATTTGAAGAAAATTGAATTTATATGAGACTAACTAAATAAATGAAGACTAGCGATGTTTCCAACAGATGCAACCATGCTCATTTACTACTATAGCAGCCATCTTGTTAAAGTTTTATTTTTATAGACTTATAGCGCGAGATTCGGGCGGAAGTCACTTTATTTTACAAATGGCTGCCGTTTATATAGCAAATATTGCTTGCAGACTGTTCAAAGTTAATTTCTGGCTTATATTAGGCCTAATATATTACTAATTTTTAGCCATTGATTTAGGTTTTTTTATTCATTTACCTATATTTGACACAAATATATCACAATATACTTCTATTAAAGTTTAAAGCCTTGACAATGAGGTAACTTTTTCGTACATTAATAGCCGCGGGCGATTTTACGTACCCAAAACGATACATTACCTTTTTTACCCTCCGCAGAGACTTGCCGATTTGGGGGGGGGGGGTAAGAGGCTTTTTCCCCTTTCTGAAAAGGGGTTGTTACTTTGAGTCTATAGACTCTTCGAGTTATCGTACTACAATGGTGAAACTTGGTAGAGGAATAGATTTAAGATGTACATGTATAACCCTATTAAAAAATGTGCATTTTTTAAACATAGGATTTTTAAATTTGTTTGTTTTTTGCGGAATGAACTGTTAGGCCTAAGTCTAGTATTTTAATTATAATTCAACGGTAGCGTGTGCACAAAATTTGTGGAAATTATTATTGTAGGCATAGGGTAAAGGAGGGCGTTAAGAGCCACACTTTTTAGCACCTGTACATTTTAAAAGATTTCTACTAATCTAAGAATTTTTTAGTATTGAAAATATGGCAAAATTATTCTAACATATCTTACACAATATAAAAATAATAACAAAGTGTATTAAATATACTTTAAATGGGTTTAATTGAACATTTATTCTCGGGCAGATGAGGCTCGTTAGCTGGGGACAGCCACTCTTCTAGGAGAGACAACTCCAAAATTAAACCAACTGCTGCCTTGTAGATTGTTCTTGGTTGGACAAAGGCTATGGAAGCAAATCCAGAAAGAAAAGCAGGCTGAAATCGGAGTCAATGGCCTCAATGGCGCATAACCAGTTGACACGTAACACTTAATTGTGTTGGAGGCGTGGTCGAGTCTGCAAAAAGATCATGGTTTGCAAAATTCGAACAGTCTCGAGTTCAAACCCACTGGCAGATAAATCTGGATCCCCTTCAACACTAATAGTTAAGAACGAAGAAGAAAAAGAACATTTATTGTCATACCCCCAAAATCAGCATTTGGGGTGATAGGAGCCGGGCAATGGGGCAATAAGTATTATCTCCTAGTTTAGACTAACTCCGCAATAAAAATAATTAATTTCTAACCCCAAAATAGTTAATGCTGTGTACACACACTTTAACTGATACTAGCTATCACTAGGCCCCAATGGGCCCAGTCTACAATTGATACAATTGCAGGTGTACATAGGGCCTAAGCCCTAAAGTCTAGTAGTTTACAGTAGGCACATTAGTATGCCTAGTGTGTAGCTGTCCAGAGTTAACATTCTTGTATGTAAAAAGGGGTGGTACTAACTGCCTTAATGCTTTCCCCTGATAAGCAATGTGTGCTATACATTACATAACATGACATGGAGGTGAGAAATGTTGAGGGGAGAGCAGTTGTACTGGTTTCCCCTTTGTTCTCCTTGCTGGACCCTGAGGGCCATAAATTACATAAGGAGATGCTATCTCTGGTTGGCTGAGACCTAAGAACTTAGTCCATGTTACCTACAAAGAGATGAAGTTTTATGGTGGGTTAGATACAGGTGGGGGCTGGGTATCATGGAGGTGACAAAATGTGAGGGGAGAGCAGTGGTACTGATTCCTCTTTGGTCTTCATCCTGCTAGACCATGAAGGTCATATATTACATAACATGCCATCCCAGATTGTCTGAGATCTGTAACTGTAATCCATGTTACCTACAAAGAGATGAAGTTTTATGGTGGGCCAGAAACTGGTGGGGGCTGGGTATCATGGGGGTAAGACAAATTGTAAGGGGGGAGCAGTGGTATTAATGTGTCTGTTTACTTCCCTGCTGGACCATGAGGGTCATAAATTACATAACATACCACCCCAGATTGGCTGAGACCTATGAGCATTTATTCCTGTTACCTACTAAGAGATTAGAAGTTTTATGGTTGGTTAGAAACAGGTGGGGGCTGAGTCGGCTGTATTGCCCCTTAGGGGTAATAAGTACATGTACCATTTTAAAAATTACCTTGCTAACATCAGATGGCTGAATTTTTACTTTTTAGCAGGTTAGAATTGTATTTCTATCATTTAGACACAAGTCTGTTTAACAATTAATACATTTTGTGTTAACTATTCCTATACCAGTGTCATATTCAGTGGTCTAATAAATGAGAAACTTGCACTTAGGGTTTCAAGAGCCACATAACAGTATCTATTATAACTTTTCTAAACAGGCAAGCTAGTGGACAAAATTAATGTATTCATGTAGATTTAGTTATTATCTAACAAATAAAACCATCATGGTAATGATCAGTCAAGTTTTACTCTGATAATGATAAAAACTTTATAGCATGGTAAAATGGGACAAATGTCGGCCATTTTGTTTTGGCACCAATAATCACTGTGCAAAAAAAATTCACCAAAATAAAACTATTCAAGCCATAGCTATAAAAATAGTGTTAAAATGTACAACAACCAATGCTCTAATACAGGAACAAAGAATGGGCTTGAAAAACTCATTTGGTTTATTACAAAGTGAAGTTTCCCAAGTTACATCTATTTGGAAAAAAGTTCACAAAATGGTTTTATGGAGATGAGAAATTTTAGGGAAAGAGCAGTGGGATTAAATTCTGTCTCATCCTCTCCCTATTGGACCAAGTGGGTCATAAATTACATAAAATGAATCCTCTGCTTCTCTGTTATCAAAGAACAGCAGTGGTTGTTACCTCAGAAGTAGATTAGCAGTGTTATTGGGGGTTTTGTGGGGGTGGGGTGTTGATTGGGGCTTAATACCACACGGCTCTTAACGCCCTCCTTTACCCTATTAGTAATTTTTTAGTATATTGATTTTTTTTGGCACTCTGGGCTGACAGTAGCTGCATTGAATTTAATTTCATGACCGCTGGTTAACCTCATCAATGCTGCATGGCCTATTCGACTATTCGTTTATGTAAATTAATTAGTGATGCTCGTTCAGTGGCCTTTTTCAGAGCTAGGCCTAATTACGGGGATTTTTAGACTTATTTGATCGGCTGTTAGCCTTTTTCATTGCTGCGTATTTTAAACAATGCTCGTTCAGCGGCTTTTTTTTTTTTTGCTAAATAATGTTTACTGGCATTTTAAGCGTTGATTTATTTGTTTTATAAAGCTAGACCGTAGATCTAGTTTAAAAGAATTTGCGCGAGCATAATTTTCGTGTTATAATTACAATTGGTATAAGTAGGGCCTAGGCTTATTAAAATAATTTTGCATTTATTTGGATTAGTATAAATCTTTTTAAAAAGTGTACAGGTGCTAAAATGTGCTGCTCTTAGTGCCCTTCTTTAGCCTGTAGTTCTTTCTATTTGGGTTTTTTTTTTTTTTTTTTTTAAATTTATTATAAATTGATTATACTTATTTTTTATTTTATAGGATTTTGTAGCATTTGTGCACAAAGTAAATCTTTGTTTTTGTGACTGAGACTGCAGTGTTTTACTGGAGGTTCTTGTCATTTGCATGACTACAGAATCCTGACATAAAATCCAGGGCCATAGTGCTGGCGTCAGCTTTTTGGGCTGACAATCAGTCTCCAGCTACTGGAACATGTCTTGTACTTATATAATTAAAAATTTTGTGGCTACTGTGGCTGCATAGTTTTGACCACTTTATATTTTAGTTCCGCAGAATGCGTTACGTAGCCGCTTACCTTCTTGTTACCCTTGGGGGTAAAACAACAGTATCAGCCACAGACATAGAAAAGATCTTGAGCAGTGTGGGTATTGAATCAGAATCTGATAAAGTCAATAAAATTATCAATGAGCTCAAAGGCAAAAATTTGGAAGAAGTGATTGCTGCAGGTATGTTTATTTTCTCTATTGTATGCATTGTTTTGTAGACTTCAATTTTAATATTAACTGTAGGTCACATCACAATTACAGCCTTTTTCTTAAAATTTTGAAGCCATCTTGTTGTAGTAAAGTATAGACTATGGGTGTGTTTTTATTTTAAAGCTAGAATTAAGCAGTAAAATATATTACAGCTTAGCAATGTTGCATACACATGATTCTTGATTCTTCTTTGCTGCTGTTTTTTATTTTATTGTTCCTTCTGTTGCTTGTCTGTATATCTTAAACTTTGAGGGGAGAAATTTTATTCTCATTTGATGTTTTTTTTTTACCATGAGGATAGCTATTCCATTTTCAGCTATAAATTCTTTAATTTTATAATTCCTTCTAGGCTCCAAAAAATTGGCTTCAGTTCCATCTGGTGGTGCTGTTGCAGCTGCTGCTCCAGTTGCTGCAGGTGCTGCTGCTCCGGCTGCTGCTGCTCCAGCTGCAGGTTTGTCTCTTACATTGTCTCATTTGCTGCAAATAATTTTTAAAAAGCTGCACTTCTCAATTGCCACTCCTGTTTTTTTTTTGTTATACTAATACTTTTGTATAAGAAAGTGATTCTCTAGATTTAGTCCATCAACAATATTGTATGGTGTTAGCAGTTATGCCTTCTTTCCCGCTTAATGCAGAATTGTTCAGCTTTTTTTTTTTTACAAAAATTGTGTCCTTTTCTGTCATCCCTTCAGTTTGTTCTGCTTTTCAACAACAAAAAATTATTAAAGAATTTTACAGGGATGTGCTTTTCTGATTTTTAGTGAGAATAAGATATATTTTTTTTCAGTTTCGGCTGAAATTTTCCTGTGCTAGTTTTATCAATTCCAGATTTTCCCGTTTTAAAAATTAAAATGAGAATTGACCATTGCGGAAACAGACCACATACACATTCTGCTTTTTCCTAGTTTTCTGCATGGCCTGCATTGCAGATACCCGTTGAACAATTTAAATATGCTCATTTCTTTGACTGGAAGTTTGCATTAGGTCTGCCAACGCTAGATTACGATTAAATGTAGGTCAATATTCTGATTGCAGCTGTTTTCTGAATTTTATAGAATTCTTTTACTTTCAGTTGAAATTTTCAGTTGAATTTTATCCCAAATTCGGGACACATCTATAGTGTCACTCGAGCTTTGTTTCTTTACCGTTATTCTCGCGTGTGTGTTAGTCTAGCTATAGCTTAACTAATCTGCCTGTCTTTGAAAGCTATCCGGATGTACAGATTCTCTCTGCTTATTAATTCTGCATTCTCAAATTAATGTTGCAGTAATCGCTAGAGGTGATTATGAGGGCTAGATTAATCCACCCCTCTTTGTAGCACCAGTGGCTCATGTTACCCTCGCTATAGTCCCAATTTCATGTTTGGTACTGCTTTTCTGGGGGAGAAACAAAAATGACATCACAGCCAATCTCAAATAGCTATGGTCCTGTAATGGAGTATGCAAGAGGCTTGCTGAGAGTTACTGATTTAAAAAATGAACTTATCTTGACCCCCACCAGTTTTTGTGGAAGAAAAGATACCCATTTTTAACAACAATCTACATTATTACCCATGCAGTCTTAAAAAGAATATACACTTACTTATTACAGAGCATTATTGGAAACCGAAGTACAACTACATGATTTAAGTTTTAGTTAACTTAAAGGGATAGGGGCCAGTAAAAACTTTTACTTGCAAGAAAACAATTATTTCTTAACAGCTTGAAAGTTAACCCATTGTGGGTTTTCCACCATTCATATATTTTTTAATCCTAATAAACGATGAATTCATAATGAAGAATTCACAAAGAAATAATTGTTTTCTAATCAGTATTAAGTTTTTTCACTGACGCCTACCCCCTTAATGTTCAACTGAAACTTCCCATTTGCACTTTTTTAAACATTAAATTACAATTAAATAGGTCTTCTTTGTTATTTTAAGGTAACAAACTTTATTTATTTAAAATGTAAGCAATATTAAACTTCAGTTCACTAATGGTGTTGTAGGATAAAATCAGTAAAACCAAGACAAGTTCTTGTCTGAATTTTTTTTTTTTTTTATTGGATTGGTCACATCCCTATTTCATAATATCATTTGTATTTATAGAGTTGGTGATGAGTTAAATTGTTAATGTTAATTGTACCACATGACATTTTAGTTTTAATCCCTATCCCCAGTGGGAGTTAACTTACATTTGATCCCATTCTTTTACAGAGAAAAAGGAAGAAAAGAAGAAAGCTGAGAGTGAGGAATCAGATGATGACATGGGTTTTGGACTGTTTGACTAACTTTGCTAATTGTACTTGTAATAAAATAACTGTATCCAGCTTTTGAGTTACTTATACATTGAGTCTATTACATTTGGGGCTTAAAAGGTTTTAAATTTTTTTTGTTATGTTCCTGATTTATTGTAGTACTTGTACTGTTTGAAAGTAACAAAGGTTTGTTTATGGGCCTGGTTTTGTGTTCCATATCAGCTGAATTATTTAAATTAGCACACTGATGGTAATGTAAAAACATTGGTTATTATTTCAATGTAGATTTCTAAACAGGTGTTAAATTTGGCAAGATCTAAACAGACTTATTCTAGTACACTGCATCATAGGAATTAGGCTTAAATCATTCATTGCTTGAATTTTGTTGTGGATAGGGGAGTCAAAAGTAATGATGAAATCATTTACTTTGCATGAAATGTGACAGCAAGAAAGTGGACGTCCACATGGTGATTTTAAAGTCCTTGCAAACACGTGACCTAAATCAAGTGATACCTGCGTCCGCCGCCACGGTGGTGTACACCGGCGCTGGACGCGTTCACTGTATGTAAAGAATCGCACCCGCGGAAAAGGAAAAATACGTTAAAAAACTTGAACTCTTAGGAATTGATACTGTTATGGACAGTTTCGTGGATAATATAATTATGTGGCCGAAATTTCTAAATAATAATACTGTTAGTAATGCCGTTTGCAGTAATATTATAGGTTATCTAGATCTGGTTAATGTAGATTCTCTGTTAAGTACAAGATTTAGTAGCAATAGATCTAGTACAACCTCACTACTGTAGCAAACGTGAGACCACTTAACTCCTACAAAACCCACACTACAACGGCTAATATAATTCATGGGTAATAACCACTGCTGTTCTTAGATCTCGGCCAATCTGGGTAGCATGTTATACAATTTAAGACCTTTGTAATCCAGCAGGGAAGTGATAGACACATTAATACTAGGTAGTCCAAACTGAAATTAACTATTGATTGCAGACTTCTGGAGTATGTCATGAAAGAACTTTTAATTGTAAGCTCTATGCCACAAATTTTATAAAAATATCTCAATAAATAAAAAAGTTATGCGATTTTTAAAAAGTGCCATTTTTGAGAACCCATATTTTTTAAACTAAATAACATAGAAGTGTGGAAATTGGTAAAGTTGCTGCAAAGTTTGTAATATATATGCCCAATTTTTTTCAGTCATCTAAAATGAGTCTAAGGTAAAAAAATAATTGAAAATGACAAAAATGCGTTTTGGTCACTTTTATTTTCATTAAAAAAAAAATTCAATTTTTTTTTTGTTGCTTTGGAATAACTCTAAAATTATTGTTAGTAACAACGACGTGGAAAAATGTGTTAATTATTTTCTAAAAATCACATGAGTTAAAATATTATTTTAAAAAATACCACAGTTATCTAGTGCAGGAGAAACAGAATCAAAATTTAGTAGAGTAAATGTAATGTAGTTTAATAAAGACGTGATGCAGCAATTGATGCCACATGCTTTGGTTTCTTTTCAAACCTGATAACTGCTTTGGGGGAACATCTTTGTACGTCTTGTTTCCCTCAACCTTGATCTTGTAAGAGTAAGTAATATGTTTTGGGAATTGGAGGGGGGAGTGGGGTCTTGGCCTTCTTCCCTTCCCTTGTAAGGAAAGTTCTGGATAGGCCACCGTAAATGTCTCCAGCTATGGAACGAACAATTGATTTAGTGATTAATAAAATATAATTAAATTTACTACTAGCCTATTGTGTAGGCCTACTATTTGTCCTATGACTATAACTGGAAACATATGAAAAAGCCTGAAAACACCTTTTTGTTAAAAGTAATTTATATTTTTTATATATATTTTTATTATTTTTAAGAGTAATTCTAATTCTACTGAATGAAATTTGAAATAATCGTTGCTTGTCCCACAATGGTTGAGATATCCAATGATGAAGATGCCATACTGTGGTTCTCAACATCCTATAGGACAACTTAACTGTCCTTCATTGTTACTATTATATGCATATAAAATAAATAAATAATGAGAAATACTACTAGTACTACTTAGACTTACAACTAATATAACATTTAAGTCACAACATGTAGAATCTTAATAAATTGAACCACCATCTAAAAATTGATCTGGTATATTTTATTACGGAGACTGGCGCAGACCATTTCACATTATTTAGCAGGGGAATCAGAATCATAGTGCACAACAGAAAATAAAAAAATTAATCACATTAGTCCTTAAAATTTAGTGTCTTTTGTTTTAAATAAATCAATAAAAATGTGTGGTTATTTTAATTATACATTTCTTTTGTGTTTCATTAATATTTTATAAGTATTTAACCTTCGTTCCCTGTAAATAATTGAGTTTGTCCACATAGTTACCAGGATTGTCTGGTGGTCATTTTGAATTTGTCGATTCATAATTTTGACGTGATAGTCCAAATAAACTGTAGAAATACGACCCTATCATTAATCCCGTTCGATAGATTTTAAAGAATTAGTAAACACTAGCATCTAATAGTTAAGTGCATCCATATTTTAAGTCCCTAGAATGTCCTGAATTAAATAGCTTCACGTCTAAACACACCCTGTGTACAAGCGTAGTTCACACGCAAGAAACCGTGGACTAGTAGAGTTCAAATTTACATTAATAACGTGTACTAATTAAACCAAACTGACATTCAAACTTAAAATTCATTTATTAAAATGGAAATGAAACTTTAAAAATGGTACTTACAACTTGTTTGAAGGCTCTAGCAAGGGTAAAATCCGTTTAGCATCATCGGTCGTCAACCTTTAAAACCGTTCGGCGAGCAACTTACTCGGGGCTGAAAGTCGACTCGAGGGTTATATGTTTATTGGGGGTACGGCTTCGCGACCGTAAATCAGAAATACTTGAATTTACAACACAAAGTAGTTATAAAACTGAACTTTACATCGGTGTAAAAATTGAAACAGAATTAGTTTGTTTCCGTGTATATATCGTCATTTAAAGTTTAAAATTTGTATTTTTTAAATGAAATAAACAAGTTATTTTTTCAATTTATACATCAAACTGTAATATAGTGAGACTTGTGAAGTCAAGGGAACTCACTCTTCTTGTATTAGTATTATATTTATACTGTTATCTTGAGTGATGTCCCTTATATGTTTGTCTCTCGTGACTTCCGCCCTCTCTCGTTACCATCATGTAGTTGGAGGCCAATAAACGTTTTATATACAATCACATGCTTCTATCGTCAATCCATTACATCTGGCGACGAGGATGGGATAATCCACTAGAAAGAGCACCTACTTACTCAAAAAGAGGTTTGCTAGAGCATATTGGCTAAGTATTTCTAGAATAATGGCGCTGTATGGCCAAATAAAAGAATTTGATTCGAATGATGAAACCATTCATGATTATCTAGATAGGTTAAGCTTTTACCTTGAAGCTAACGACGTGATGATAGAAGCCAAAAAGAGAGCTGTTTTGTTAACAGTCATAGGGCCTCAACAATTTAGGCTATTAAAGGACTTATGCGCACCAGCTAGTCTAACTACCAAGAGCTTTAACGAGCTGAGCAAACTGCTAACAGACCACCATGCGCCTGTACCATCAAAGTTTCTATGTAGAGCCAGAATTGACGGTTGGACTCGTCAACCAAACGAGTCAATATCAGAATATGTTGCTGCTTTACGTCATTTAAGTAGATTTTGTGAATTCGGAGACACACTGTCTGACAGACTATGTGAAAAGTTTGTGACAGGTGTAAACAGCCCTGATATTCAAAGAAAGTTGCTTCTCGAGTCAGATCTAACATTAGAAAAAGCAATACAACTAGCAACTTCATTCCAGCAGTCATCCGATGCGGCGAGATCTCTAACGCCCTCAGGGATCCATGCAGTAGCCAGCAGGTTAGTCAACAAACACCAACCCCATCAGAGCATTTCAACTTATGCTAAACAGCCTGCACGTTCAAATCCTAGATCTAAATCTAGTAATAATTATCAAAAATGTCATCGATGCAAAGGTCCCCATGCATCTCATCGATGCAAGTTCAAGTCAGCAATTTGTTATAAGTGCAGTAAGCAAGGTCACATTGCCAAGGCCTGCTTTGCAAAGTCTTCGTCCAGCCCTGGAATTTTCCAAGCTGTCATGGACAGTATTTTTAAGGATATTCCAAATGTTTGTGTTTACTTTGACAATGTGTACATAACTGGTAAGAATGACACTGAACATCTTAAAACACTTGATAAAGTCTTGAAAATAGTTGGTGAAAAAGGTTTAAGGATAAACAAAGATAAATGTGAGCGGCTGGAGTGTATTTTTATTATTTGTAACTTAAAAGGCGAATGTATCGTTTCGTTTCATGTCGTAAATTGTTCGTCGTTCTAGTTGTGTAGTCCCGTATTATGGCGCCGCTGTCTCACTGTTTATGTCCCTAGTTATAGCTAGTTTATATATATTTCGTTTATATTGTTGTCATTGTTTATATTAAGTGTCTTTTATAATATTCTGTTGCATGTTTCGTCGTGTTTGGTTTGTTATCCGTGAATTAGGGACTATTTGTTTACGTGTAGTGTGTGAGGTGTGTGGAAGTCGGTTTCCGGCTTGTTCAACTCTGTCTTTTGTGTGGAAAGCAGCGGTGAAGAGAGCAGGCAGTCTCTCTGGTCATCGGGTGAAAAGAATAGCAAATTCGCACCATCCAGTCGTATTTATTTTGTGTTTGTGTTCGTCATAGTCCTGGACGAAGTCCGAAATTGGGTGTTTTGTTTGATGTAAAAAGTTTGTTTCGTTTGGTTCTGTTTTGTGGTAGTTTTTATCTATTCTTCTTTTATAACTTTTGGTTCCATGCAATAAATTTTATTAAATTGTTAAAAGTTTTGTTTTATTTTAGTAGCTTATTATTTAGACTAAGGTTAGGGTTTAACCACTGTGGGTTCTACCACGGTTGCACTGACCGGACAGATTAATTAGTTAAGCCTAGGAGGGTAGATTGTAGGTATCCCCCCCTAGCAGGGCTTACAAATTAATCTGTCCGGTCAGTGCAACCGTGGTAGAACCCACAGTGGTTAA